TTATTTTGCTATAGAAATAAAAATACCTCAGTCACTGATTACTTATTTCTTTTCTATAGGAAATATTACCCTGCAGCTGAGGACTATTTTTTCTAAAAAAAATAATTTTTTAGTTAGAAGGACTTTTTTTTTTTTGTTATAGAAAATAATTTCTCAGTTACTGACAACAATTTTTGTATAGAAACAATTTTTAATTAGGGACTAATTTTTTCCATAGGAAAAATTCTCAGTTACTATATTCTAAGTTTTTTTATGTAAAAAATATTTCTATGTTGCTGAGCATTAGATTTTCTATAGATTACAATTAGTCCTCAGTCAGTCACATAGGATTTTTGTTTTCTATACAAAAAATTGTTGTCAGTAACTGAGAATTTTTTCCTATAGAAATTGAATAGACTCTAGTAACATAAAATGTATTTCTTTAGAATAAAATAGTCCTCAGTTACAGAATTGTGGTTTCTATAGGTTTACAGAGTACATCTCGAATTACTCGTTTTGGTATTTCAAAACCACTTTCGGTCTAGAGGTGTATATTTTTTTTAAAAGATTTTTAAAAATTCCCAAACTGTTGCTGTCGCCGCTTTAACTTATGTGTTTAAATTTTGCACACTTGTAGTTTTTTTTCAACTTTAAATATATTTTTAAAAAATATATATATATCCCAAACAAATATTCTGTAAATACAAAATAATAAACAAGTGAAAGTAAATAATGTTGTTGTAAAAAAAAATGTCGCCGCCTACAATACAAATGCCATATACTAGCCGCCTACACACACCCCAAATTCCTTCCTAACATAACTCCCGGAAGAAAAAATATCACATACACACATTCGTAATTTTACATTAAACAAAAGAAAACAAAAACAACAATCGACTTTTAGGCATATAAAAACTAAAAATAAAAAACCAACAACAATCTCTAGTGTAAAATTTCAAGAAAAACAATTTTTTTTCTAAACTTACAAATAAAAAAAGAAATAAATTTTGAACTATTTTTTAAGGAAAACTATACGAATTAAGCTAGACAAGAAAACAACAACAACATTCTCACAAAAAAATAAATGAAAATAAAAAACCATGTTGTGTAGAAAGACGAAAAAATAATTTAAAATAATAAAAAACAAAACCCAACAATCTTTGTAATTATATTATTATATATAAATATACCTAATATTAATAATAATTATTAATTAGTTGTAACAACAAACAAGATAAGAAACAAAAATTTCAAAACTGAAAAAAGAGGAAATTTAGAGATTGGTGTGAAAAAATCCCTAAACTATAAAACCCCCCAGCAATTGTCGTAAGGAATTTTTTGAAAAAAATTTCTTGACAAAAAATAAAAAAAAATAATTATCACAATTGTTTTTTTACTTATTGTGATGGTTAAAATGTTAAAAATAATTTGTTATATATTTTTGTTGCCCCTACCCTACCTTCTAGACAGTAATATATATTTTTTCTATTTAATTTATTTCAGTTCCCTCCAATTCACCCTCCACCGCATTTCCTCTCTCAGCATTGTTTCTAACTTTGTAAAAAAAAACAAACAAAATAACTGTGTAAAATGTGAATTTTTATTATTTAATTTTTAATGCTATTACTTCAGTTTTTTTTAATTAATTAATACTATCATTATGTATAATTGATAATTTTTATTATTATATAGTGTTAAACCGTTTTTTCTTTTTATTTTTTATTTTCATTTTTTTGAAACAATTTTTATTAGAATTAATCGAAACGAAACAAACAAAACGTCGTATATATATACACACACATTATATTTAAAAATGAAACAAATGAAAACGTAAATATTTAATTATATTATTATACTATTATTATTACAAGAAGAAAATCACAAAAAAATGATATTTAAAAAATATATATTATATATAAAAAAATACGTTATAAAAAACAAAGAACTAAACTACAAAAAAAAGAACAAATAATATTTGAAACAAACAACAAGAAAAAACATACAAAAAAATCAATAAAATCTTCGAAAAAACCAAGACCTATATTAAATTTCAAAAACAAAAAAATATAGGTTATTTGAAAAAAAGTTAAAAACCTAAACAAAAAAAAAACAAATAAAATTTTATGGTGTTTTATTTTGGGTGGGGTCTTGAGGGATGCTTAAATTCTATAATTTAAGAACAATATTTTTTCCAATGATCAACACCCACATTAGTATCTTATTTTGTATATAGAAATGCTCTTGAACACTATTCACAAAAATATTCTAATTTTTCGATCATCTTTTCAGGCCGCTTTGGAATGATACTCTAATTTCGATAACCCATAATGCTTATTTACTTACATAGTCGGCTTGTGACAGAACTTTCGTTCCATAAGCCGAGCTGAGAAAATATTTCCAGGCGTGTTGAAAGACCATTTTCGGCAATGTTGTCTTCGACTTGATCTTTCCATAGTATTCGTGGCCTTAGAAAAGATTTCCAGGCGCGTAGGTCTTTTGCGCAGTTTTTCCAGTTTGAAAGACCATTTTCGGCAATGTTGTCTTCGACTTGATCTCCATCGTATTCGTGGCCTTCCCCTTCTGGGTGAACCATCAGCTGGTTCGCTTTTATATATATATATATGTATATATGCCTTCTGGACTGGGGCATCTTCATCCATTCTCACAACATGACCTATCCAACGTAGTCGCTGCAGCTCAATACGTCTAACAATGTCGATGTTCGAGAATAGCTGGTACAACTCATCGTTCATTCGACGGCGATTTTCACCGTCAACGCAGATCGGCCCATATACCTATCGGCGAATTTTTCTCTCAAACACTCCAAGAACTGTTTCATCTGCTTGCGCAAGTACCCATGCTTCAGATCCATATAAAAGCTTTGGTAGTATCAGGATCTTGTAGAGTGTGAGTTTGGTCTGGCGGGAGGTGACCTTGCTTTTGAGTTGTTTGCTCAGACCATATTAGCACCGGTTGGTCACCCCCATCCTTCTCCGAATTTCAAAACTGATGTCATTAGTTTTATTTATGGCCAAGGTATATACAATTTTTGACTACCTCGAAGCTGTAGTTTTGAAGTTCCACAGTTGGTCCGAGTCTACTGGACGTCTTGCGCGTGGATACCATCAGCTTGGTCTTCTCGCCGTTTACTGCCAGACTCCTTCCCAATTTGTTCAAAGGTGGCTGTTACCGCTCTCAATGTTCGACCCATTATGTCGATGTCATCGGCGTAGGCGAGTAACATGTGTTGTTTGGTGGCCATTTCTGTTCACTTTTGCCTCTCGTATGATCTTTTCCTGGTGGATGTTAAAAAGGTCACACGACAAACTAACACCTTTCCTGAATCCTCGTTCGGGCTCCGAGAGGTCCTTTCCGACTTTAACTGCTGATCTTGTGCCTGTTAAAGTTATCCTGCATAGCCGAATTAATTTTGCAGGAATGCCAAACGCAGACATGGCTTTAAACACCTCTGAACGGATAGGACTGTCAAATGCGGCTTTATAGTCGACGAATATGTCGATGTGTTTTTCGTGGGTTTTTTTTCCAGGATTTGGGGCAGAGTGAAAATCTGGTAAATGGTGGATTTGCCAGGTCTGAAGCCACTTTGGTAGGGTCCAATAATGTCATTGACCATTGGCTTCAGTCGTTCACACAGTACTTTATATGCGATGGGTAGGATACTTATTCCTATGAGGTTCGAATCATTGGGCATGCATTATTCTAGCCAAATTATACTAAACAGCTGGTGCATGCTCCTTACCAGCATCTGATCACCAGTCTTGAATAGTTCGGTTTGTAGCCCACCGGCACCTGCTGCTTTATTATTCTTCAGCCGATTGATTGGTATTCTGATTTCATCTTGGCTAGGTGGTATACACTCTATACCGTCATCTATTATTGGTTCTTTGGTATCCACTTCACTGCTGTATCTGTCACCAGGTTTTCTTCTTTATCTCTAAAGGAGGATGTGCCTGCACCAAAGCCTTCGGTTTTTTTCTGAAAATACGTTTCTCCTTTCTCCGTTTTTGCTGACGCGAAGTCAATCAACCTCATGCCGTTGTCTGATGTTTCTTCATGGAGGCTGACAGTGGGACCACAAATATTTCCGACAGTGGGACCAAAAATATTTTCTCTTCCGATTTTTGCATTAAAATCAGCAGAATTTTAATGTCATGGCCAGGGCAACGATCATATACTTTATCTTCGGTCGGAGCATGGGTGCAAATGAGACTGATGTAGAAGTACTTCGCTTTTATACGGATTATAGCAATTCGCACATCTACTGGAGTGAATCTGGAGACGAGGTCTTTTATACTCCTGTTAGCCATAAATCCACAGCCAAATTTATGTCTCGTTTCATGACAGCTATAACACAGGGCGTAATCATTTGATTTACTTACGCCAGTCCTTTCTGATTTGTACTTCTTGAGTACATTCGCCAAAGCGAACTCTGCGCCTGTTCTGTACTACGTGCGCACATTCCAAGTGCAGATTAGCAGATCGTGGTCCTTTATACTTTTGCGGGGGTCGTCAACGTTAGGAGGGTTTAATTTTCATTTTCTTTGCTTTTGCATAGTAGGTTGGGTTTTCAACCCATTTTTTATAGTTCTTTTTTTAGCTTAATTTAAACGGGTGATTTTTCTCCCCAGTGGGCTTCCGCAATTGAAGGCGTTAAAGCCATTTTTCAAATGATTTTGTTGCCAAAAGGCGTAGATTTTTTAAACCATATTTCTGTGGTTTCCATAAGGCGTAGATTTTTTAAACAATATTTCTTTGGTTTTCCATAAGGCAGATTTTTCAAATAATTTTTCTTTGGGTTCCCATAGGGCATAGATTTTTTAAGTTATTTATCTATGGCTTCCCATAAGGCGTGCCCATTTTATTGAAATCTATTTTTTATTGTCTACATTTATTTAAACGTTTTTTTATTCTTTTTACTTTTAATACTACAATATGACTTCGGATCGATTAAAAATCTTACTTGGCTTACATACAAAAGAAAACAAAACTCCCCTGCCCATCTATTTCCTTTCTTCACAGACATACAACATTTTACTTAAACAATCACCATCATTCCATTTATAATTGTGATTCTCCCACAACATAACACAGTGTTCAACACCACGTTTATTGTCCGGTTGACCGCCAGCCCAATTTGTATAGGTGAAATTTTTCTTGGCTGTTATCCAGACAAATTGGCGATTTTTTGCGGTATCGTTGCCACCAATCCAGATGTTCGGATGATCGTTACCTAAAATATAACGATTAGTTAGTTCTGTTTCAGAACATGAACGGATCAATACACACCATAAACTTTTTTCAATTCCCTTGTTAGAGCCTCCGTTTTCTCTTTGGTGTCCAACACCACCAGATTCATGTGTTTGGCCGAACATCCATTAAATGCAGCAAACCAATTGCCCTGCAAGTAAATCCAATAGTTGAAGAAGCCATTACACTAAAATGCATATACCAACATACCTTTTTACTTGTTTCAATATAAAATCCATTTGTAACGTTTACTGGCGGTGTTCCTGTTCCTGATGCAGAACTTTGTTCCAGCTTTAGACCGATAAATATCGCGACAAATAAGATTTTGCAAAATACTTTCAAAGAATACATTTTTATGTGAAGTTTCAAAACATACTGAACTGGGTTTCGAAAATTCCGTATTCCCATTTCTTATACAAATGCTACGGTTAAGAAACATTCGAAGCTGCTCAGTCGACTATTTGATAAGGAGCGTAAGTTTTTGTTTTGTTTGATTTCTTATGCAAAACAAAATTAATTGATAAGAACTGAAATGAAATTCTTAAAATAAATACACTGAAGAAAAATAAGGAATCATATTAGCGAAGATTTTTAAAAACTATTTTTGCAATGACGCTTACCGGCCAAAAATACTCAAAACGTTTGTGCCAATAATAAAAATAACCCTTATAATATAGAAATGCTCTTGAACACTATTCAACAAATATTATCCTCTTTTCATAGCCTCGAAAAAGGCGTAAATTTTTAAATAATTTTTCTATGGCTTCCGATAAGGCGTAAATTGTTTAAACAATTTTGTATAGCTTCCCATAAGGCGTAGATTTTAAAATTATTTTTCTACAGCTACCCATAAGGCTTAGATTTTTTAAATCATTTTTCTAAAGCTTCCCATAAGGCCTGAGAATCTTTAAATAATTTGTTTATAGCTTCTCATAATGCGTAGATATTTTGGATCAGTTTTCTATATCTTCCCATGAGGCATAGATATTTTAAACAATATTTTATAGCTTCCCATGAGGCGTGGATCTTTTAAATATCTTTTCTCTAGGCGACTAGAAGCAAAATATACTCCATATCATATAGAAATGCTCTGGAACACTATTCAGCCAATGTTATTCTTTTCAGTCCGCCTTGAATGGAACTCTTTTCCTAAAGTAGGGTTTCTCTAGAATTCATATTTTTTGCATAAAAGAAAAACTTATAATTAGAGCTGATTGAAATATATTTTTTTATTTTACTAAATCTATATCGCATTGGACCATACAATACTCTCTATCCAATCTAAATACGAAGATACACGAGTGTAAATCGATGGTGGTTCACCGGCACAACCCAAACCGAACGATGTAACCCCAACAACATATGCACGTTTATAGCTACCGGTAATTTTTTCCAATATCAACGGACCACCTGAATCTCCTTGACATGTATCACGCAGACGTTCGGGATCACCGGCACATAAGTGGGTAGTCGGGGCGATGCCATTGGGTGCAGCCTCAGAATTTCCCGCATAAAATTGCTGACATTCATTATGGGGTACAATTTTCAAATCCGTTTTGAGTAATTGATCCGAAGCAATTCCACCGAACTGGGTATGGCCATAACCCACAGCAACGACATTATCAGAAATTATTGCTTCCTCCGACCACAAACAGGGGGCATAGACGCTGTAGGGAAGATACAGATAGTATATTTAAATAAATGAATATTAATTTGTGAAATCAATGCCAGCAATAATTTTTGAAATAAATTTTGAGTTTGATGCCAATATTGGGTTTAACTTTCTTGAGACATCTATATTTGGCAGACCAATTTACTATTTAAATAAACTTTGAGTTATAGAACGAGAATCATATTTTCTGATATCGATTTTATACACTTTTACTATTTCTTTATCTCTTACTCTTTTGCTTCCTCTTCCAGTTCTATAAGAGCTATATCATTATATACTGTTGTAGCATTGTATTGTGGATGTTTTATAAATTGTTTTATTTTCACATCTCGGACTGAGGCATCTGTCAGATTGGAGCCACCTATGCGTACCACATTAGGAAATTCTCTGCAAAAATGGGTTGACAATTTAAAAAAAATTGAGATATTACATTCCATTTAGTACCCTCCTATTTCAGCGCAATGGGCGGCAGTTAGTACAAATTTAGGAGATATTACCGCCCCACCACATCGATACCAAGGTTTGTCATCAAAATTCGAGTTCCATCCCAGGGCGGCCTGAAAAGAAAATTTGAAAAAATCACAATTTTTGTTAAATATTGTTCAAGAGCATTTCTATATCCCGTTTCAGAGAGACAACTGCTGAGATTTTTTTATATATTTTTTTAGAAATAATGTTTCTATAGCCGCCGATAAGGCGTAGATTTTTTAAATAAATTTTCTATTTTTTGTGTTGTTATTTGAATTTTGCCTTGTAAGTTTCGCATTAGGGCGGAATAAATACAAGTTATCAACATACGACATTTGTAAAGCCACATAACCCAATTTGCCTGATGAGTCGCTTAACCAACGGCGAAACGCGTCGCATAATGGTGGGTACATAGGTTCTTCTTCTGGCTTTCCTTTTCATTGCAAAACTTAGATCATTAAGCTCAACTCGAAAGAGTATAAATAATCATTAAAAAAATTATCTTCAAATGATCACTGCCCTTACAAGGCAAAATTCAAAAAACAAAAATTAATTTAAGCTGAGTACGGCTAGGGCTCGAACTTCGGTCCTAGGAGCAACACAAATGTTGCCCGACAACAACAACACAAATGTTCGGTCCTAGGAGCAACACAAATGTTGCCAGACCAACGTTCTGAGCCTTCAACACACTTCCAAAACGGTTGCGCAAAAACATGTATCCATCGCTACAACAAAAATCTGCTTTGAATAGGACTGTTTCTAGAATGAAGACAAATGTCGAACTTTGACAAATTTGAATTCAATGCGCATATGAAAGTTTCCCATCAGGGCGGAATAAATACAAGTTATCAACATACGACATTTGTAATGCCACATAGCCCAATATGTGTGATGAGCCGATTCTATAGCTCTCCATAAGGCTTAGTTTTCTTATATAATTTTTCTATAGCTTCACATAAGGTGTAGATTTTTTAAATATTTTTTCTTACCATAAATGGAAATTCATCTGGATTGGCTGGTGTGCCATGGACAATTGTGGATTGTACTCTTGTGTTCAGATCGCATTCTAAAATAAAAATGTATTTATATTTTAAATTAAACAAATATGTTCAACTCTCTTTTGCTTTCCAATTTAAAAGGGAATGACCTACCCAAATCACTACGCCTCAGACCAGTCAATTCTAATAGACTTGGTCCAGATGTAGTAGCTCGTGTTGTTCTTATGGTTATTGCTTCCATGGTACTGGCTGCCATGCTTTCCAATGGACAGCATACAAATTGTTCCTTTTTAATAAAATAACAGGTTTTCGGATAGATTTTCTCTTTTTGCCATTTCGTTAACACTTCTGGACAGGCCTCAACACTTTTGCACTGACCGGCAACACGAGATGCATCATCCACAAAACAATCATCCCAATTATCTTGGGGATAAATAATACCACGTTGGGACTGGGGTCGAATGGCGGGGGTTGCATCTGGAAGTTCAATGATTTTTTTCAATAAATCGTATTTTTTAAAAGATTTCTAAAATAAAACTCACAATTTTCTTTGACGATGCTGAGTGCAAAAATAAATAAAATTTGCCAAGCCATTTGCATATTGAATACAGAACTTAAAATGCAGCTTCTGCTAAATTTATGCGATGTGGTTTGAAAGGCGGTTTGAATCGAACTGTGGAACTGGCTTGCAAACAATCTGTTAAAGCCATTAAACTGCTTTTTTCTGTCATCTTAATTTTTTGCTTTTTGTTTTGCTACAGAAACTGGATTTTTATAATATAAACAAGAAGAAAATGAACAATGACAACAAAAATTACCGGTATTGGTATCATGTGTGCCGGGAACAAGCGTGTTAGCGGGCCTGGAGTATGAACCTGTTTTACAGAGGAAGGGATTCTCCGATATAATTGATATGCAATGAAGAGAGAATGAGGATGGATCGGGATGATTCATGCCATTGAACCAGACAGGTAATTAATAATGTAAGGCGCTTTTAGAAATCACCGGTATGACAAATATGATAAAGATGAAATATTGTGAATATAACACTGTGAAACAAAAATTTAACGATAAGTCATTATAAACAACCGGTGAGGAATTTCACGAACTGTGGGATCTGTCAGATTTGCACCAACTACATTGGGAAATTTTCTACAAAAAGGGTTGGTATTGAATACAAAAATTCGAGGTATTTAGATTTTATTCCTCACCCTCCAATTTCTGCATAATGGACCGCCTTTATTACAAACTTGTGTGAAATAACCGCAACTCCACATCGGTACCATCGTTTGTCATTGCAGTTTGAGTTCCATCCCAATGGAGCATTTGGAAAAGGGTTAAATGGAGGGATCGGGTTGATTCATGCCGCTGAACCAGACAGGTAATTAATAATGTAAGGCGTTTTTAGAAATCACCGATATGACAAATATGAGAAGATGAAATACTGTGAATATAACACTGTGAAACAAAAATTTAACGATAAGTCATTATAAACAAGCGGTGAGTAATCTCACGAACTGAGGGATCTGTCAGATTTGAATAAACCACACTAGGAAATTTTCTACAAAAAGGATTGGTATTAAATACAAAAATTCGAGACATTTCGATTTTATTCCTCCCCCTCCAATTTTTGCACTATGGACCGCCCTTAGTACAAACTTGGATGCAATAACCGCAACTCCACAACGTTTGTCATCGCAGTTTGAGTTCCATCCCAAAGCGGCATGGAAAGAGCATTTGAAAAAAGGTTAAATATTGTTCAAGAGCATTTCTGTATCTCATTTTGTGGACAGCTGCTGAAGGGTATATATTTTTAAGTTTTCCATAGCCTCCAATAAAGAGTAGATTTTTTATAGCTTCCCATAGGGCGTAGATTTTTTAAATAATTTTTCTCTAGCTTCCCATAAAGGAACTCTTCGCACCACCTTCGCTATAAATCATATTCATGTTCTATCACACCTATTTTTAAATATTTTTATTTTAGATTATAATAATTTTAAATATGTTTATTTTTAATTTAATATATCAACAAGGTGTACGTATATTTCGCCCCACAGCCCTTAATCAAAATTTAATGGATATAACGTATCATTAATCCAATCTAAATAGTTCGATACACAGGTATAAATCGATGGCGGTTCACCAGCACAACCCAGTCCAAATGATGTAACACCAACAATATATTGATTTTTAAAATCTTCATCAAATTCTTCCATAATCAATGGTCCGCCGGAATCACCTTGACAAGTGTCACGTAAACGTTCTGGATCACCAGCACATAAATGCACTTCAGGATCAAGTGAATTTGTATCATTCATTTTCATACATTTTGTGTCTGTACTTTAAGTAATTGTGATGAACCCATGCCACCGAAATGGATGTGACCATAACCCATAGCAGTTACATTATTTGTACTTATGTTTGCATTGGGCCATATACATACAGCTTGAATGCTGAAAAGTTTATTTTATAGAAAAATTATTACTTAACTTTGGTAAAAGGCTGTGACATATTATGTACTTACCCTTTCACTTCTTCGTCAAGCTCCACCAAAGCTATATCATTTCGCACTTGTTTAGCATGATACTGAGGATGTTTGATAAATCGTTTTATTTTCACATTACGAACTGAGGGATCTGTCAGATTTGAACCACCCACACGAACCACACTTGGAAATTCCCTACAAAAAGGTATTGAATAAAAAAATCTGAGATATGTGGACTTTTTTCCTCACCCTCCAATGGCTGCACAATGGGCCGCCGTTAGTACAAACTTGGGTGAAATAACCGCACCTCCACATCGATACCATGGTTTGTCATCAAAGTTTGAGTTCCATCCCAAAGCGGCCTGAAAAGAATATTCGGAAGACGCATAATTTTGGTTAAATATTGTTCAAGAGCATTTCTATATAACTTTTTGACGACAACTGCTGAGGGGTATATATTTTAAAAACAAATAGTATAGCTTTCACATAAAGCGTAGATTTTTTTTTACTTTTTCTATAGCTTCCCATAAGCCGAAGATTTTGAAATAATTTTTCTATAGCTTCCCACTGTAGATTTTGAAATAGTTTTTCTATAGCTCCAATAAGGCGTAGATTTTGAAATAATTTTCCTATAGCTTCCCACTGTAGATTTTGAAATATTTTTTCTATAGCCCCCAGCAAGCGTAGATTTTGAAATAATTTTTCTATAGCATCCCATTGTAGATTTTGAAATATTTTTTTTAAAATAAGTTTCCTATAGCTTCCCATAAGGCGTAGATTATGAAATAATTTTCCTATAGCTTCCCATAAGGCGTAGATTTCGAAATAATTTTTCTACACTCCATTAGGTTTAAATTATTTAAACAAATTTTATAGCTTCTTACCATAAATGGAAATTCATCTGGCTTGGTTGCTGTACCATGAATAACAAGTGTTCGAATTCTGGTCATAGGCGCACATTCTATTGAATTAAAAAAAAATATTGCTGTATTAGGTATTACCACAATTCTAAGTCCAGGCTAAAATTTTATATAATTACCTAATCGACTTCGTAGGTATAGATTTAGATCCACTTCAATCTCTTCCGATGAAGTAGTGATGTGAGACGATTTTAAGTTGGTAGGGGAGACTGGGGCACCTTCGGCATCGGGGCACCTTCGGCAATCGCGTTTTCGATATGAAGCTCTCACCGTACATCACTAGTTTCGATACATAGGTATCGAATATCGAAATAAATAACTGACACAAAGTTTGAAATTTCTAGCTAATAAGCTTATTTAGATACATGGGTTTTTGTATTTTTATAAATGTTTCTGTAATATTCAATTACATTTCGTAAGTATTTCGTGTATAAAACTTTTTAAATTTTTAAGACAATATTATTAGAAAGTGGTTAACTACGATGAGCATTATTATAAAAATATTTAAAAATATAATGTTTTTACAAAACTGATCGAAAAAAATGAAAAAACTATAAAAAGTATATTCGGGGTACATTCGGCATTTTAAAGTGGGGCACATTCGGCCATATACAGATTGTGCAATATTATTTCATTAAAATGTTTTTGAGTTTGTCTTTAAAACTAATCCTTTAATATGGTTCGAAATTGCATATATAAGATCAAACGTGCTTGTATTGACGAAAATGCGATAGAAACCCTTATTTCTGATGGTGTGTGTGACCTTGAGATGTAAACGTCCGCCGCTAGAAAATAAGGTCATATAATTCAAACATTGTGTGGCGTATTAAAACCAAATAGAGTCTTTAGACGATCAGAATTTCAACCATACTGATAGCGATGACGATTACCCGGCTATGGCTATGGTGCCGAATGTGCCCCATCGAATGCCGAAGCTACCACGGGTTGGGGCACATTCGGCGAATTTGACTTTTTTTACAAAACTGTAAAATTTTTTTACTAATACTATGTTTTTATATTTTTTTGGTACTATTTTTTATAATTAAGTGTTTGAGGAAAATAATCAGCCATAAAGTTGTTATATATGTTGAGTAAGTACTGAGATATAGAGCTCTAAAAAAAAAGAGCCGAAGGTGCCCCAGTCTCCCCTACTTTCCGTTGTAGTAGTGGGGGACGTGGTTGAGTTCACATTCCTGTCATCATCCATTGTTATGGGACAGCATATAAATTGTTCCGTTTTTATAAAATAACATGTTTTTGGATATATTTTATCCTCCTGCCACTTTTTTAGAACCACCGGACAATCGTTGACATTTTTACACAGTCCCGCAATTTTAGACTCCTTATCGATATAACAATTATCCCAATTATCTTGTGGATATATAACGTTACGTTGTGGTCGAGAATAGCCCTCGACCCTTGTGCCAACTATACAAGTATACATTTCTTATGAAATATGTTTGTGGAATTTTTCTTACTAAACATTCAAACTTACAATTTGCATATAGCAAAATAATTGCAAAAATATATAATATATGCCAACAAATTGCCATAATTATAATTTATAAATGGGAAAACAATGTCAATCGATATGCCGTCGCTAAAGGTGTAGTGATTTACTAGGCGTTTTGAATTGAACTGAGCTAAGAAGGTAGTCAGTAAGCCTTACAAACTATCATTATTGGCCCTAGAGTGACCCTTTGTGAGACACGTGTGACTAGGCGTTGAATACAATATTATAAAACAATTTATAAATACGAAGATAAGCACTGAATAAAATCTGGAGGTGGGTCAGGAATTAGCGGTGTTTTGAGAGGGTTTTAAAAGCGATATAGAGGCATACAAATAATTTGAATAATTACAAGTCTTCATAGTTATAAAAACAAATGACCGATAAAGCAGACATCAGTAAATTTATCAACCTACAGGAAAGAATATATCTTACAGACCACTTCAAGATCCCAAAAATAAGACCAAGTATATTGATAAATTTCATACAGGAGAACAACCAAGATATTAGCCCACCTTATGCAGGACATCTATCAATCTGATGTTTCAATGGAAATTTCCTTTCTTCAGTCATGACAAAATGGCATTGGAATTATTTGGTAAACATGTATCACTTGGGGATGGCAAAATTCAAATCCTGTTCGTCACCTCATAGTTGACATTAGTAAATTTATTATCCTACACGA